GAAAGCCACAGGATGCACTTTCAAGGGAATTAGAGGCAAATGTCATCATGAAGGCTATTACTCAGTACATGCCTTTTCTACCCCCAATACATCAATAGTAGTGTATCGCAGAACTCAGACACTGCAATGATGCACAATGTCTTTATGTAAGTAGAGCAAAACTTTTAGCCTAGAGGGTAATTTTACACGTTTGATTATATGTTAGTATGCATTGGAATTTCCTGTTACTGACAAAATAGCTGCAGGTAAAGATGAATTAAAATTTTTAAATTTGAGTTTGTTAACTATATACTTATACATGTATGCGATTCCATCTTTGATTTCATACTGTACTAGAGAATTGCATACCTTCCAAGTGTACCAATTTAGGAGGGACAGTCCTTACTTTGGGCACAATTCCCTCTTTTCTATCCTAATGTTCCACTTTTCTAGGAGCTCTGAATTGTTGGTGTCTGAGAGAGCTCTACAACAATAAACACATAAAACTGTGTCTTTAAACTACAATACATTTTTTAGAAATCAATCGGTGTGAGGGGACTGAGCTTCATGGAGGCTGGACGCTCATTGTGTCAGGCTCCAAGCTTATTACCTCAAATCAGTAAAATACTCGATGTCCAGCTTGCCTTAACGCTACAATTTGTGCCTTACCTGTGTTGGTTGCCAACTGGGAAGCCTCAGACCAGTTTATTAGCCTGAAATTTACGTGACTCCAGGTGGTTCCATCAAGGCCAAGCGGACCTGCCGGATGAGTGAGACAGCCACTCTTCCGTTCGTTGCTGTTTCATGCAAACAGCAGTGTGCTGCATGCTCAGCCCCAAGATGGCTGCAGACCTCGTTTAGCCAGAGGGGTCCATGGCGAACCCGATAGAGAAATGGAAGGTCTTCTATGCGCGATTTGACGAAGTCTGTGACCGATTTTGGATGCGAGTTCAACAGAGGGCTCTCCTAGCAGCCTCCCCGGATGAGCGAACGAGCATTGCTGATGCTGAGCCCTCGTCTTCGCATTCTGAGCTGGGAACCCAGAAGGGGCACTGCCCTGAGCAACATCCACGCACCCAGGGAAACTCCCCTTATCAGAGCTTTGCCTGGGATATTACCCAGATTGTATGGGTTAGTGGACTAGGTGCCAGAGTTCTCATGACGGCGAGATGGACTTTGCAAGCAGTGGGGTGCGTGTTTGGCTGACCCGCACAGCACACCATACGTGGAGGCGTTTCACAGCTTAGGTATCTGCTGACATGAACACCCTTGCATTGGAACTCATTGGAACTGTGTATCCCTTTGTTTCACAATATTGGTTTAGCTACCTGATTTTATTTCTTTTGTTATTGACTTTCATTTACATAGTTCTGTCTGCTGCAATTGCAAACTGAGAATGCATATCAGAGCTTTGTGAGTCTTGTTGGGCTCTGCCGAGAAAGGTGGTTCTTATTCTGTTTGCACACATGCTATTGTTAAACATTACCTATCCTCTACGCAGCATGTGTTCAATATACATTATCGCTATTATTTACCCCTCACTTACCCCTGCAATAAGCACGGTAGTGCACATGTTGTATGGCCTGACTCTTATAGTTATTAATATTCAATTTGACTTAGATTTTAATGCCTACTGTAAAATATAAATTAAGCCAGTACACAACACAGGCTTAAATCTAATGTTTAACCCACTAATGTCCGCAAGGTCGGTGTTTATCCTGTTCTCTTCACTCTTTTGTTTCTAACTCTTATAAAACAAAAATGTGCGACAATCCTGAAATACCATATATTGAAATTGAAATCTCTAGCTATGTCAACTCAAATGTGGAAATGTAAACAAAAACTTGCTCGTCTCAACAAAAAGAAAGAATTTCAGAAAAAAAAAAGAAAGAAAGAAATCAGTCTGTGTAAATAATATTCATTGTTCTTGTTATAAATTACATTTTAGTTTCATAAGTTATTTTTAGTAAATCACCTAAAATGTATCAGAACAGCTCTGCCCCCTGGCCACACCCCCACCCACACCCCTAATATTAAAGAGCCCCTCATTGTCCATTTGAAATATTGGAAAGGATGGAATTGCCTGGGAACAAGAGAAGACCCAATGAGTTCTCAATGTGCAAAAGACCATGGATGATGAAAAAAAAAAGCAGTGTGGTTAAGAGTTAAAAGATATTTTTTTTTGCTTCCCTGGTGTTTAACACCTTTGAATAAAGCATTTTTTTATGGTTTGCTGTTTTCTGTTAAATGATACGGACGATTTAGCAAATTCCAACATAATCCAGTTCAGACAAGGCAAAACCGGGGTCAGGGTTTTTAACTTACAGTTGCAAGAAAAAGTATGTGAACCCTTTGGAATGATATGGATTTCTGCACAAATTGGTCATAAAATATGATCCCCTGGAGAAAAGGGAATCATGACATGTCACACATGCCATGTGTCCTTAGGGGGTTAATACTCTTGACACTAAACACCCTGTGTAATCTATAGCTGACATAAACCTCTTTAATTTTTTTTTTTTTTTGTCATTCTCTTTTTATTGTTGTTTCACATAGCATGTACATGACATCCAACCAATGCGATATACATTGAGGAAACAGAGAAATATGAGAAGAAAAGGCATCTTTCCCCTTACAGCATTTGTTTGGAAGTTTGTCCCTTTTCCTCCGTCCCCTTACAGCGATCTTCCCGTCTGACCCTTTCCCTCCCACCCCCCTCCCCTATCTGTCCCACGTCTACAAGCACTATGCTATCCTTGCTTACTGACTCAGTACCTACAATATTCGCCTGTCGAATAGAGTTGTTTAATGTATAGGGGCATACGACTACCGTTCGCCCATGTTATCTGGGCCCTTTCTAGGGCTTTAGACGTTTCTCTCGCCTTACATCCCGGGGTTTAGTTCGCCTTACTGAGAAGACTATAGGGCTCACTCAACTCCCTATCGGAAACAGGTATAGCCCCTTATGACCCCTCCCTTGGTATGGGTCCCATCTAGGCGGCCGGTGCTGGATTAGATTCCCACATCTCCACCTCCAGTGGTGGTACCCCCGGGGTGGGGGGCTCACGCCCTTGTTCCCGACAGGAGTCTGCCCGTGTCGACAGGTGCCTCTATTGTTCCTCTCGTAGCATGTGGGAGGTTGTCTACCATGTAGTCCTGTCGCCCTACTACCCATTTTTGTATTTATTGGTCAGGGGTGGACTCAAGTTCTCTCCGTTGGGTGGAATCTAAAGTTGAGCTGGCGTCCGTCGAAGGTTATGGGTGTCTTACCAGACTTAATGTGTAGTACGTCCTATGTCTGCGTGACCTCGGTCTTACCGCTAATCATGCTGCACCCTTCTCGAGGTAGGTGCTCCAGGGGTACCATTTGAGGGCGCACTTGTCCGAGCGCTCCTGCAGGGAGGCCGTCATGAGTTGACATAAACCTCTTTCTAACCTTAAAGGAACACACATGTAGCTGAAAAGAGCTGTGCACGTCTGATCTGCAACTACAGGAAACGTTTGGTTGAAGTTATTGCTGCCAAAGGAGGTTCAACCAGTTATTAAATCCAAGGGTTCACATACTTTTTCCACCTGCACTGTGAATGTTTACATGGTGTGTTCAATAAAAACATGGCAACATTTCATTCTTTGTGTGTTATTAGTTTAAGCAGACTGTGATTGTCTATTGTTGTGACTTATTACTCATAGTAATCTAGTAGACAGCCACTAGAGGTGGAGTTAACCCTGCAAGGTAATTATTGCAGTTTATAAAAATGGGCAGAAGTGGTCTGGGTGCCTGGAGTGTCCCTTTAATCCAGTGCCGGGCTCCCTCGGTGCTGGTGACCTCTTCTCCCCCGCCGACGTCAGCAGAGCCGAATGCGCCTGCGCGGCATGTGCTGCGCACGCATTCAAAGTGTCCATAGGAAAGCATTTCTCAATGCTTTCCTATTGACGCTCTGCGCGATGGAGGCAAAATGTGCCTCCAGCGTCACAGATGCGCCTCTAGTGGCTGTCCGGAAGACAGCCACTAGAGGCTGGATTAACACCAAATGTAAACATTCCAGTTTCTCTGAAACTGCTATGTTTGCATCTAAAGGGTTAAAACCTGAGGGACCTGGCACCCAGACGACTTAATTGAGCTGAAGTGGTCTGGGTGACTACAGTGTCCCTTTAAGAGAAAAGAAAAGTATATCAAGAAAAAATGTAGGGAGACTGAGTAAAAGTACTATTTGTACAAGTGTCCAGCAGAGGGAGCTCAGCAGAAAAATAAGATGATTTAATAAGGTCTGAATTACAAAATTAAACATAAACAAAATCTAATCAAATTCAGTTTATGCACGTTTCCATATTTGAGAAGGGACAACTCAGGTTTGCTGAATAATTAACCTAATTTAAATCCAAGGAATATTGGTGTTTATCACCAATTTATATGTTAAGCCAAAACAGTTGACCCATCACTTTTTTGGCCTGGGACAAACTTTATTTGTGCTGGCAATGACCAATGAAAGAGAGACACAGGGAGCATAATATAATATAAATGGAGCTCCATATTGTTGGTGTGACTGAAATTATACCAGGACTCCACAGCACAATCACAGTAAAGGAACATGACTACTGCCCAGAGTGGTTGCCATGGCAGCCAAAAAAAAAATGTTGGGGCTAGGGAAACGGGGAATCTTGGGAGAACCCACCGGACCACTGGAGAGCAAGACTGAGGGATCCAGGCTGTGCTTTTTTACCACCATGCTCCCCTGTTGGTGTGTTATGGGGTCACCATTTGTGTTTTGGTTTTTTTCTATTTCATCACAGCTGCGGTTTTCCTTCACCAGCAAGTCTTGAAATGAATACTGCCATGACGGACTTGGAGAGTCAGAGCCCGGTTCGGTCAAGGACGAATGACAGGCTGAAGAGGATTGGTTAAAGGACCACTATAGTGCCAGGAAAACAAACTCGTTTTCATGGCACTATGTAGTCCTTAGGTACCCCCCACCCTCATGGCCCCCTACCGCTGGGCTGAAGGGATTAAAACCCCTTCAGCCGGGGGGGCGTGGCTAAGCGACTGAACTGCATGGCCGCACGGTCTCGGAGCTCCGAGACACACCGAGCAATTCACGCACTTTACCTGCAATATCGCTGGACCGAAACGACAATAGAGGCAGGCGGTAGACCCACACTACAACATGGGTCGAAAAACCAAAAAGATAAAGCCTGATAAACCCAGACTAAGTCATGATATCGGAGTGCTCCTAAGGCAGGCACAGCAGGCCGGCGGGCCCAAAATGGCCGACTACCCTGAGGCCTATTCAGACCTCTCTGATGAGTCCCTCGAGGACGAAGAAGACGACATGCCGATTAGACCGGCACCGACAACCAAACCGGTCAGCCCAGACAAAGAACCGGTAACAACAGCAGTGCTGAAAAACCTGCTGGCAGACCTTCAACACAATATCCTGGCAGACATGGCAAACCTACGCGCAGACCTCCAGGGCCTGACAGGCCGGATTGGAGCCGTGGAAGCCACCACAGGAGAGCATACACAACAAATTGCCTCCTTGCAGCGCACAATCCTGGGGCTCCAGAAACAGAACGCAGCGTATGATGCCAAATTTACGATGCAGGAGGACATGCGGCGCAAAAACAATTTAAAAATTAGAGGCGTCCTGGAAGCTATACCCACAGAGGAACTACCACACATGATGAGGCGCCTCATGGTAGCATTACTATCCCCAAGACAGGCCAACTCCATGACTATGGAAGATTGCTTCCGCATACCAAAAGCACCGAAAGCCCCAGCAGCCGCCCCGAGGGATCTAATTGTCCGGTTTCGCAATGGCAAGGACAAGGCAACAATGCTCATGGCCCTCAAAAACCGTGACTCTTACACCTTTGAAGGAATGCAACTCACCTTTTACCCAGACCTCTCGGGAGGCACTCTGGCGTGGCGGAGATCCCTCCAACCGCTCACCACCCTACTTAGGCAGAAGAACATACAGTATCAATGGAGGCTGTCACGAACTCTGATGATCCGACACGGAGAAACCCAGCACGCAGTCCGCGACATCACTGAGGCACAGACCCTGTTGCACACACTGGGACTCACACAGGACCTGCTACCGCAAGCTGGATTGCAGAGACCCAATCCCGCACCCCAGCGCTGGGACCCGGAGAAAGTGACTGTGTTCGTCCCACGGAAGCCCCCATCGACCGGAGCCGCAACACTCACCACTTGAACTCTTACTTATGTTACGGTGCATCCCACACACAGTAACCCTGAGCTACCACTAGCCTATACATGTTTTATTTTTACTTATGGTTATAATTTTGTATAATTGTATTCTTCTGCTTTTCATTGTTCTCACACACTAGGCTTCACCCTAGACACGGCAGCGTGCGCACACTCCCGTAGAGCGGCCAACCGACCGCATACTAACACCCCCCAGGCCCGATAGACTAAGAGATCATCAGACGTAATGTCAGCGAGAATGCCTAAAATACTGCTATGTACATATGTGTAACCAAACATAGTGCCTATAAAGAACAGAGTAGAGTAAACGCGCTCTCTGTTTGTCCTACTGAGATATAATCCGTTGCGATGCTTGTGAGAACGACTGAAACACTTTTTATATTACCTGTTATAGCGAACTACAACCACACATGTTTAAGCCAGTTTAACTTGTAACTAACTATAGAAATGTCCAAGCCTGAGAAACATTAGCAAGTTATTAAATTTGATCGCCAACTTTCTAACTACGTTCTGTCATATCCTAACAATACCTACGTAATGTAAAACCAGATTGTGTATAACTTTACAAAAAAAAAAATGTGCTTGTTTTATTATGTACCTCTATGTTTGACTGTTTTAATCCGCCGGAGGATTACCTTTGGGGTACCTTCAGAGCGACTGTTATAAGCTTACGCACAACAAAAATAAAGAATTATAAAAACCCCTTCAGCCACTTACCTTTATCCAGCGCCAGGCTCACTTGGCGCTGGCGACCTCTCCTCCCTCTCCGACGTTGGCTCCCGAGTGGAGCCAAATGCGCATGCGCGGCCAGAGCTGCGCGCGCATTAAAAACGCCCACAGGAAAGCATTATGTCAGTGTCTTCTGTGATTTTCACAGAAGAAAATCTGAAACTGCTATGTTTTCAGCTGCAGGGTTAAAACTCGAGGGACCTGGCACCAAGACCACTTCATTGAGCTCAAGTGGTCTGTGTGCCTATAGTGGTCCTTTAATATGTTAGGTCTGCTGGGTAAAAGCAGCAGCTGACAGTAGTTTCTTTGTTTGTTAAAAATAAAGCTGTGGCCGTTGCCCTTTCCCACGTAATTGGCGTTGCGTAATTTATTGGGAAGGAGGGTAATGGAAGGTTAAAAAATTTGAAGGAGTCAGCAGTCGTGTCTTGAAACTACAATAAATGGATTTAAAAGTCAGTCAATGTGAATGAGATTGTTATAAATTCCATTTTTGTTTAGAACACCTCCGCCCCTGGCAAAACACCCCACTCTCACTCCTAAAATTATGTATCACATTTGAAATGTTGGGATGTATGTATTAATAAAAATAAACCATTAAATAATATTGGATCTTTTACAAATTATATGAGGGAATTTAAACAAAAAACACTTTCAATAAAGTTGTGTTATAAATGGTTCCTGGTCTGCAGACTTATTTTCAGCTTTATTACAAATCCCAATCTTACAGGAAGCTGATGGACTCCTCCCGCCCATCTTCTGCAAGCCCTTAAATAAAGACTTTGCTGGGATGATTGTAATTAACTGGACCACCTGCAACTCTTAAAGTAAACATTCTGTTGAAGCTCGGTGGAATGCAAGATAGGGTGTAAATGTATCTGTCTTATCAGGAAGTGTGAAAAGGAAGCTGTGTGATTGACAGCCAGGAGAGGTGTGACAAGGATTGCAAAAATAAAATAGTTTACCTCCTAAATAGCAGATGATTTAGCAGTTGGACTGCAGGGCATGATCTATACACCAAAATTACTTAATTAATCTGAAGTGGTTTTGGTACTTACAATGACACGTTAATTAAATAAGTACCCCTCGCTTGCTGGTTCTTTAAGAACCCCTTTTTAAAAAGTATCTCAATAAATTGATATATTTAGGGACACTGGGGTAGATAGGTATTTGTTTTATATATGTATGATTTATGGAACTTACCTTTATATTCTACTTAGAGGCTGTCCTAGATCCTAGAGAACAATTTTAGGCTCCCGAGTTGCCTTTCCAGGTTTGTTATCTGTGTTTTGCATTTGGGAACACCAGGGAATTATCCTCAGCAAACATCAGCAAGGCTTGCACTGCGCAAAGTACTGTTATTGGAAGAGAGATTCAGTAGCAATCTGCTCCTGATCTGCTTTGATCGAGGGTGCCCAGAGAGGCTGTCAGTACGGTGTGCATTAACACTAGGCTAACGCACCCCTTTTTTTAGGTGAGTCTTATTACATCACAGTCCACCTACACCCTTGGAGTTACTTCCCAATTTTGGCATCTTTCATGCAAGGGGGTGCGAGGCACTTCGTTAGCCTTTTTGCTGAGGAACTGTTATAGTAAAGTGGGTACCAGGCTCTTTCTTGGCAGAGAACATGAGGGTGGGCTGGCAATATGGGTACAAAAGGGTCAGACATACCTTTAACACTGTACCTTAGGAGGATGAGAACTTTTAATGCGAAGGTTCAGGGCACCCTGTAACACTACATACATAGCTGACGTGGAGCAATTACAACACATGATTGCTGTCAACATGATACCAGTACATTTTGGTTGGCAAATAAATATACACATATCTTCTATTTAAATTGTATTTATTTTTTTCGCAACACATAATTTTTTTTTCACTGGGTAAAAATTGCACAAATATTACACAAACTGTATAAATATACATAATTATTTAAAAATCTATAAATAAATATCAAATAAATACGTTCATTGTTATCCCAAATAACATCATCTACCCAAATAATTTAAAATAGATTAAACAGGGAAGGGGAACATAAATAGGGGTGTTAAGGTAAAAAAAATACCAGGGGCTTGACGCCAATACAAAATCCCCTCCTCCCCCACAAGCTGCACAGCTCAGCAGCACCTAGATGTAAGCATGGAAAAACCAATTGGTTAGGGTTAGACAAACTTAAAATCTTGTGGACTACATCTCCCCAATGCATTTCCAGCTGTATGGGGTGTAAGAGCATTGTGGGAGGTGTAGTCCACAACACCTGGAGTGCCGAAGATTGCCTACCCCGGTCCTAGGCATACTCCTGCAAACTGAGAACAAAACTCATGGACTCTGAGATGATAGGCCTCCAAATTCTTAAATATATAATTCATCTATATATATCTATGTTACTCCCCAGAGTAGTTAGTGCAATAGACTTTTCTCTCAAAACGCGTTTACTGTCAGGAAAGGACTTTCCTATATAAGTAATGAAGAAAACCGATACAAACATGGAATGTTCTGCTCCTTAATTCTATCAGATATTATTAAATAGTAGGCTGAGCATTTGCTCCTTGTGATAGCGTTGGCGATTCTTAACCCATCAAAACACTGAAGACTGCTTTTATTTGACTAAGAAGAACGCCTTTCGTACATTACTTTTGCTTATTAACGTTTTTCTGATGGCAAGTTTTTCTAAGATACAAACACAGAGTTAATCACTGACTAGAGAATTGTCAGGAACCCACTCATTGTACAGCGCTATGGAATTTTCTGGTGCTATATAAATAATAAAATAATAATAATAGTAATTTCAAAGCGGATTTCAAATTTAAGGCTAAAACAGTTCTCCGTCAGCTTTGCTATCAATTCAGCTACTTTGGTCTTTAATTTGAACTTAACTTTGAATTCCTAAAACTTCTCCCAACAAATAAACCTGTTATTCTAACCAACTCGGCTTAGCATTAGTGGCACAAATCAATACTGAGACAGACACAAAATCCCATATTTTAGTGTAGTTTGCCCAAGTCTATCAATGTAAAGCATGTGATTTGTGGCACTTTTAGAAAGATTTTAACCCCAACAGCGCTCAGATACTTCACAATGCCAGGACTCGTGAAAGAGCCTCCACCTGTCGGAGGTGTAAGCAGGAGCCTCTAAAGTACCACCAAGAAATATATTGACCCCCCTCCCTGGCCAGAGGTAATAACCAGGGAGGGGGGAAATAAATAAACAGAAAAAAATTAAATAAATATAATAATAATAAAAATAAATAAAACTACTCCCGTTCCAACCCACACAGAATATAGCCCCTATGCCACCCCACAAATGCACACACACACACACACACACACACACACACACACTATACCCATTATACACAGTCGCTTCCTCCCTTACATACACATTCCTTATTGCAATTAAGGAAACCGTTCAGATAGGATGCTGCTTAAATATTAAACAGGGGATCCTCGTTGCAAAGTCCTTATGACCCATTAAATGATTATCCTAATACATTTTGGACCATAAGCATAAATTTGTGCAGGTTTGATAAGATCAGGAAGGTTCCTGCTTTTTCTTCTAATGGTGTTTTGTATATTGGTGTTTCCTGAATGGAGTGGTTAACAGCATTAATTCCTTGTGCTTCCATCTGTTGAGACAAGAGACGTTATTTGGTTTGTGTTTTTGATTATCGAACAAGCCAATCTTTCTGTTAGTATGGTGGGAAAATCACATTTGTAAAAAATTAATGGAACACAATAGGAGGAATGTATCCAGTGTTCTGTTTTAAAAAGTAATGTGAAAATTGAATTGTTGGGAATTCAAAGTAAATTTAAAACTTAAAGGAACACTATAGGCACCAAAACAACTTTAGCTTAATGAAGCAGTTTCGGTGTATAGATCATGTCCATGCAATCTCACTGCCTAATTATTTGCCATCTAAGAGTTAAATTACTTTGTTTATACTGCCCTATCTTAGCATGAAGTGTTTAGGAAGGTTGTGTAAGTCACATGAAGGGAGGTGTGACGTACACTGCCTTCTTAAACACTTCACGTAAAGAGAAATGTGATGTTTAAATTTCCTGTATTGCACATAAAGGAAATCACTTTATTGTGATTAAAGTTCAATTTATAAAGCAGGAGATAAAAACTAATAAAGTAAGTTAACATCTGATTAAAAATTAAACATTTATTTATTGCAGGTTGTGTGAGACACAGGCAGGGGAAGTGTTGTTAGGCCTGCATAAACAGAAACAAAAGTGATTTAACTCTTAAATGGCAGAGAAACAAGCAGTGGGACTGCAGGGGCTTGATCTATACACCAAAACTACTTAATAAGGTAAAGTTATTTTGATGCCTATAGTGTTCCTTTAAGTCAATATAGCTTAATTAGAAACATGGTCCAAATAAACTATATTTCCATTTTTTGCTATTTTGAGCTAGAATTTGAAATTCACTTTGAATTTCTAACAATGTTTACATTACTAAATATCGTTGTATGATGTGTTTGTGTCCACCATTAAGAATACACTTAAATATAATACAAGGATTCCATTTTGATTCAAGACTCATTCCTCTACATCTGCAGTAAACATTTTGGGCTGATCATATAGTCACGTATTACCCCCTACCCCTCTTTATTCAGCAATTGTCCCTGTGTAAGATTCTCACCTCTTCCTGGATATTGGTAAGCAGATCTTTGATGTCAGCCTCCAAACTGTCTAGTTTGTCTTGTGGTAAGTCTCTAGTTGAGGTAAGTAGTGTCATGAAACCACTCAGGCCACTGGACAGCTGGGAAAAACATGCGCCCTGTGGGGAAAGAAGTGTGAGGTTACATTTCCTGTATTCTATCAACTCCATCAACATCACATTGGCTATTAACAACTATTATATTTATTCAAAGATAAATGCTTTATTTCATTGTAAAACTATAAAATGTTGTCATCGTTTTCAAT